TTGAGGGCTGCCGCTCGAGTCAAAAGAGAGAAAAACACGGATGAAACCAAACAAACAAACGGAAAAAAAAAGCTCAATTGATATAAGCTTGCTAATACAGCAATGGCGGGTGTCCCTCAATGGGAAACGCGCGCACACAAACACACATAAAACGAATCACTTATATGAAAAATAGAATTTATACCCTCCTGTCACTTCCGAATTGGCGGCTGAGTGGTTTTCTTCTTCATCATACCCTCCTCCTCCCAGCGGCACACGACGCCGCAGCGAGGCGGGCCCAAGGGGAATTGGGGAGGAGGGGGGGGACCGAAAAACGGCAAATGCACCGCTCTGCTGAGGCCCGACCACGACCCACGCAATGGTCCACCGAAGCGAGTGCAAAAGAAAAGTGTAACATCTAATTATTCCAGGTGGATAAAGTAACGTGCGAGCCCTCGTCTGCTCGCAACTCCCTTACAGAAGCCTCTACAACAACATGTAACATACCGAAGCAGGGATATAATATCGGTAATAAAAGAGCCAGAGTAGTTTACATCATGCAACAACAGGATGTGCTAGGCGGCGGGGCTTGGCTCACAGGCATTGCAACCTTCATCGCCGGAACACGCTGGGCCCTATGACCTGCCAGTTCTAACGCCGAGAGTGTCAAGTCGAGGAGCTGCAAAAGGGTAGGGGGAGAGCCGTTTGCGGCCGCCTCTTTTGCGCGGACAACAACATTTCCTACAAGAACGTTCAACTCCGTGTGTATACATGTGAGGGTTCGTTCGACCTCCGTTGCCGTTGTCAAATCAAGTGTGATGCCGAGACGCATCTTCTTTAACTGTTGCTCGGCCGCTATTCTAAGCTCCCGCTCCTTCCTTAATTCCCGCAGCAGCGTGGCTGAAGATGCATTGTTGATTGCATCAAAATCAAAGGACACGCTCCTGGGAGTAAGGCACAAGCCACCGTTGTTCTGGGTCAGATCTTCCCCTTCGGAGATGGCGGAGCAAAAGCCGTCGTCCTCCTCGGAGGCCCCACGAAAGGCGTTTGAAAGGCGGGAAGTGCAGGATGTGCAATCAAACTGACTGCCTCTTGCGCTGAGTGCCTCGAGGGGTACTGTGGTGGTCACTGTGCGTCGTTGGAGACGGCTCCAGTCAGCAATGTTCACAAACGGCGGTGGAAGCTGCCACAGTGGCCTTGTCCTGGTGTCCTCCACAGCCAAGTAACTTCTCACGTTGAACCAGTGGGAAAGAACGGCGTCAGTAAACGTATCAGGCGCCGCAACCGACGTGTTGCTGCCCCCTAATTCTAGTGTCAGAACAGAGCGGTCAATATACTTTTGAATATTTCCTCGTGTGACCACCTGCACCAGACGTTTTGACTCCTCCAAAGTGTCACCGAAGGCTGCTTCGATTCCATGCCGCACATCCAATGAGGCCTGAAAGACAAGCACCAGCCCTACAAATCGTGGATAGTATTTACAGACGACGCTGCGGATGGCGTTCATGTTGGCGAGTGCTGCCTGGCTGGTATGCCACGATGAAGCCTCCTCATTCACTAAAAGAATAATCTGCTGCTGGTGTTCTTCTGACAACGTGTCACAGCCCCCAGTTCCACTTGGTAGAGGCGGCGGTGTCTGGACGCAGTACGACAGCATGTACTCCATTACCACCGCAACGAGGCGCTGCAAGTCTTGGGCCTCAAGCACAAACTGAGAGATGTGGTGGGTCGTGACGTACAGCACTGGCCTACCCAACACGTCATGGCCAATGACAGAGACCGCCCCACTGCGCAACACATCCAGCACCGTGGCAGTGATGTGCAGTGAGGGTAGACTCACCTCGTAGGAACGCCGTTGCTTCAGCAGAGCCACAGCCTCCGAAACGGAAAATTGGACCGCAGACAAACATCGGAGGAGGAAGGCGTCAACGGAGGCGTCAAGCTTCACTGCCGGCGTCCACCCGAGGAAGTTTTTGAGCTTCAACAGCATCTGCTGCTCTCGGGTGCAGCCGATGCCCTCGGCGTTCGCGTCATACATCCTCCGCCCCTCCGTTGCGACAGACGATGACATCTTTCTTCCTCCCACCACCTGCGATAGACACACACGCGCGCGCGCACACACACAGACGGACAGAAAGACGGGTAGACTATTCCTCCAGTTCCTTGGCTCTGCAGTTCGTTCCAGGCACAAAAAAAAAAAATCAAGTGACGCAGGACGTAAATGTGTCTCCATCCTGTGAGCAAAGCGTAACCCACCAGGCTCCTTAAGCAACTCGCCCTCATTGTGAGGAAACACCACAAGGGAAAAAGCCAAGCATTCACGAGTTAGCAAAGATGCAAAAGCAACCTACCCCATTAAGGAATGTGAAAAAAAAAAAAAAACTTTTTTCCTCCTCCCTCCTCTCTTAGATTCTGTTCCCGCCACTTTCATGAAGCTATTCGAGCAGCAGCGCATTGTATGCATGTCGTAGCGTGAAGTACATACAGCAACCTAATCCCATCCAACTGCTATAGCCGCAGTACTTCATACGCTTATGAACTTTGAACTGCTGCATCGAAGTAAGCATCCACACCCACGACGCCACTGTTTCCAATTGAAACACGTTCCTCTCCTCTAAGCTCATCCCTGCCGCCACCTGACGACGCCTTGCTGTGTCCTCAATCTCGAATACTTTACGCACCTGCATGTTAAGCAGAAATGTGGTGCCTGAGGCCCACATGGAAAGGCTTGTGAGTGCCGTGCCTTGACCACGCACATGCATAAGGCCTCCAAACGTGTATGCACAGAGTGCCAGTAAAACATCAGCAGCTTTGTGTCTCGTGTTACTCCGCAGAAAGGCGTCTGCGCTCTGCTCCAACTCCTGCCGCTGAGCAGCGCCCTCCACAATGCCGCGAAGATCCGCCGCCGCCGCATCCACCTTCGTGCCCGTAGGCGTCACGCTAGCACCCGTGGCAGTCGTGGACATAGAAACGAATCCGAATGAAGTAAGTGAATAAGAAAAATTACGACCAACCGTCGGCCGCGGCCTCCTCTCGTTTAGTCCCCCCTCCCCTCCCCTCGGTAGACGCCTGGAATACCTAAGGTACCAGTGTATGCGCACACACTTGTGTGCGGTGAAAAACGGAAGAAAACGGGCCCTATATCTATTGCCTATATATATAGGGAAGAAGGAAACAGCCTTCACCGTCAGCAGCACCGTTACCAAGGTTGCAGCAGTCCAGTAAGGTATCTGTCGGCCAGACTGCGTGAAGCAACTTGAGTGCGAAGAAGAGAGAGAAAGAGATGCAATCAGAAACAGGGCACACGTACAGAGGCACGCAGTGCGTGTGTGCGTGTGTTTGGTTGCTTGTGGAAATAAGCAAGGGAGTGAGAGAGCGACAACATAAAAGAATAACAGTACACGCAGCGAGCTGCACACACACACACACACAGACACAGAGAGAGAGAGAGAGGGGGGAGAGTAAAGCGAATTGTATCGCGTCGTATTTGCTTCATCAGACAAGGAAAATGATAAAGTAGAGGGTATGTGATGAAAAATGGGACGTTAAACTCCCACGCTGCAGTGGAGGAGGAGGTAATAGAAGTACACAGCAACCTTCTCCCAACCGGAAATTCCTCCTCCCTCTCTCTCGCTCTATGTGAATATATGTACAGACTGGCCCTTTGAAAGAGGCCGTTTACGCCAGGGCCTCCACAAAGTACAGACGCAGCCAAAGAACTAAGGTAAGATCACAAACAACAGAAGAAAGTCTCACCTCCTTATCACCGGCGGTGCAGCTGTGACCATCGCTCTTCTTGATGCTTGACATACTCGTGCCAGCGTTGCGTCTCATTGGCAAATCGACTACACTCCACATCCATCTCCTCACGAAGCTGCTTCAACGCCGCCGCCCGATCTATGCTAGCCGCGGAATGAGTAACAGTATCAGAACGAGGCTGAGGTGTACTCAGTGTGCCTGCGGCTGGACTTTCTCGACGTGTCTCTGCAGCAGCGAATACACCACCAGTCATTCGTGGCGGAGCCAAATAACTAGGAACTGTGAAAGGCTTAGAAATAGATGCACTGCCGTACGGTGTAACCGTTTCCGAATAGCTCGCTGGCCGCGATGCATTCACGGAAGACAGGTGCACCGTTGTTGTGTCGGATGGCACGGGTCGGGCAGTCGCCCCAGAGGAAAAGACATTCATAACTGCCTGCTGAGCACCGTTGCGTAGCTGTTCAATATACGCCTGTAGCTCCTCCAGGCGTTGAACACTGAATCTGTGCTGTTGCTCAAGAGCGTCGCAGCGCATTTTCCATCGACGCAACTCTTCCGTTTCCTCGCGAGGAGCACCCACATCACCCAAGGGGGCGGAATGCGCTTGCATATATCGCGTTAGTACCTCCAACTTTGCTTTCTGCTCTTCCTGCACCTTTCGAACCGCCATAAGTTCCTCTTCCCTTGCGTACAATTGACCGAGTGCCCTTGTTAACTCTATATCTTTTTCCTGTTTCCATTGATTCAAACTTTCTCCTGCAGGTTCTCCGGCAGCCAACGGCACACCAGAGTTTGTTGCATCCAAGCGTTGTGCCTCGAGCTTTTTACATTGGGCTTCTGCGGCGGCCACCCGCCTTACCTCCGCCTCTCTGGAAAGCAAGACATGTTGCAATAGCGCACGATGCTGTGGATCCAAAGACGATCCAAAGTGTTTGTCCACCCACGCCTTCATTGTTCCGTCTGCCGATCCCCATGGCACTCCTGTAGATGTCAATGTGGCTGCTGCTTCGAGCGGCTCTTGTCGCAACTGGGGGACCGGTAGGGTCGTGGCGGATGATGCCTGCGGAGTTGGCGGCGCCGTAACGACAACCGGCGGCGGCGGAAGTGGAGGAGGTAGCTCCACCTGCGTTGGCACCGTGGGCTGCGGCTGCGGCTGCGGCTGCGGCACCGACGGCGCCGTGCTTCCTGTACCCACCTTGTAGGCCGCCATCACTCCCGCCGGAAACGATGGCAAGTTGGGTTGCGACGGTATTGTGTTCTGCATCCCTTCTTGCAGAGGTGGAGGAGGGCGTTGCCCGACAGACGCCGGGTCGGGCGGAGAGCTTTCCACGGAGGGTACGATGTTTTCATATATAGCCTCGAGTAGTTCGTGATCGTCCTCACGGAGGCGGACAAACAGCTCCAATATACGTGCATAGTTTTCCGAAATTTGCCGCTCTTCTTCTTGGGCCAAGCGTTCCTCCTTCTGCTGCTCCATGCCACGCACATAAGCGTCAGCCTTTTCCAACAACAATTTTTCTCGCAGCGCATTCATCACCTCGGTGGATGTAGGCTCAGAGGACACCACTGCAGGAGTTGGCTGCAGATTTGACGCTGTCGCGTGGGCCGGAGCCGGGACCTCTGTCCTCGTCGCCGAGGCCGTTTCCGGCGCTGCTGCCCTCACTGAGGCGTCCAACAGGGTTGGCTGCAGCACGGACGTTGCCAGGAGAGATGGGGCCGGAGCCGGGACATCCGTCCGCGTCGCCGAGGCCGTTTCCGGCGCTGCTGCCCTCACTGAGGCGTCCAACAGGGTTGGCTGCAGCACGGACGTTGCCAGGAGAGATGGGACTTGGTTTTGTGGGGAAGTAGATAGTCCCAAAAAGGAAACTTGGCGTGGTGTTACTGCCATGGCGCCCGAAGGGGAAGGGCTGCCTCTCTGTGAACTGTCAGGCCTCAGCTCCGGAGCTGCCACAACACCAACTGGCACACTTTCGAGGGACATATTGCCAGTAGGTTGCATGGATTGCGTAGGTTGCATGGGTTGCACAGGTTGCATGGGTTGCACAGGTTGCATGGATTGCGCAGGTTGC